AACGTCCACCTAATTCCGATTAGTCAGTTAAAAAAACATATGTCTTGCACTATATGTTATTTGCGTATCCTTTACAGGACGTTGCAGAACCAGCTTTAGCATTATTTGACTTTTATGGTTTCTCTAGGCAAATTTTACATTCAATAGTTTGCCATTGTCCCTGAACTATCAGCTATCGGTGCCATTGTCGAAACCAACGCAAGACAAATCATGACCGGCTCCAGCTGACGGGCCGTGCTGCTGACGTCACCGCGTCAGGCTAACGATGCGGTAACGCAGCGGTTCTCAAACAAGATATAAACTATTTTCGACAGTGGCAAGGAAAGACAACTTAAATTGTATCTTTAAGTATCTACATGCCTTCTTCATTATTTCACATTTTTAGCCGACTTTTCTTTATTACGCGGCAGCCCTGGCATACGCTCAGGACACCCCAGGCTGCCTCAGCACCCAATTTGAGAAATGCTGCGTTAACGCATCGTTAGCCCGAGCCGGTGACGACGCCAGCAGCACGGCCCGTCAGCTGGAGCCGGTCGTGGGTAGCCAACCTTAAGCCCAACCCTACCCTTAGTCGCCTCTTACGACATGCGTGGTAGGGTGCAGTGTCACTATTCTTTGCTTCCCGTGAGGGTAGTCTGGTAGTCTTAGTTTCAGCCTCATAGCAAACGGGTCGCCCCATCTTTGCTCCGCTCCTGTGCCAGCGAAAAACACTCAGAATGTCCCGTGAGGGACCCGGTGACACACGGGCGTTAAATAGAATAGTTTATTAAAAAAATACAGATATCCCCTAGTGGTTCAGTGATCGTTACTGAGTAGAGAAATTACAAACCTGCTGTCATTTGAAGACCAGATCTAACTGTGGGTTCTCTTCTGTGTTGGGAATAAACACAGGTCTCACGGGCTCAATGTTACTAATGACGCTCGTTCATAGCAACTATTTTCATAAATTAATTTACTATCATATATTTATAAAAATTTGCTTACATGCACTTTTTGCTTAATAATCTAATTTTTAAATAATTATCCAGTTTGTAGTTTTTCACAACAAATAACAAGTGAATTAAATTAATATTTATCATCCGTCATCGCGAAGCTTTTGTTTACAGGAAGCGCATGGCTGCCAAAGAAAGCAGACGACCAGAAAGCATGGTTAAGCTAAAACACAACACTAGAAAACTTTCTGTGGCTGAGGGAGTACAGGCCGCCAGTCTGCACATACAGCAAGACACAGACATGATATCACACGAGAATAAATCTGACACTAGAAAGTCTTCTGCGGCCGTGGACCATCCAAACGGTGACAGTGACATGCCATCGGCGGACAAGGTAAAATCCGACACCAGAAAACGTTCTGGTGATTTCCCAGCAGCCAGTCCACGACTTAAACAGAAGCTAGACATGGTAAACAAAACATCATCTGACAAGGTGAAACTCAAACAGAAATCACGAAAACGCTCTTTGGCTGATGTAGCGCACGATGAAGAGCCAGAGACAAAACAAGGGAAAACTCAGCCGGAGTTTGTATCAATATCCGAGGTTGAATTCAAATTTCTCTTGTCCGACCAGGAAACTGTGATAGAAGGTTGGTTAGTTGTTTCAGACTATAATCTTTTAACTTCTCCCTATCTGTCCACTCTCTGTCATTTTATTTGACTCCTTTCTTCTTCCCCCCCCCCCTCCAGGTGCTGATCTTCTGCGCGAACTGTGCTTATTCTGATAATAAAAAATAATAATGTCAATTTATATGTGGCCAGAGTTATATATATTCAGAGAGGTCAACAAATGCAAAGGCGTTGATGGACTGCAAACGAATAAGGATTGAATGAAATAGAGAAATAGACTGCCAGCCCAATGCGACATAAATATGATAGCACAACAGGACAATTACAATACATGAACGATGAACTGAAATTAGTTCAGCAACAAACAAAATATAAATCCTTTCCCTGTCTTGTTATTGCATATATTCTGTCTTATCTGGACGCTGGTGCCATGACATTCTTCTCGTCAGATGGTCAGACTCATCATGTGGGTTTCGGGGCACCATTCTATTCTGGGGAAAACAAGAGTGGACCCACTGCCTCCCTTGGAGTCGACTAATTGGGAGATTCATTCAAAGCCTGAGCATAACTTCCAACTGTGCACAAATAAGCTAGTTAAATGGATTACGCAAAACAGGCCCTAACACAAAAACAAAGTCTAAATGAATGAACAACCAGAACTTTCCACCTGAGCTTACAGCCGATCAACAAAGAAGATGGCCAAACCATCTCATCTATTGCTTTTTAATGCACTGTATATTTAAAATATGTGACTGGTTTCCGTCCTAATTTTCACTCCTAATTTTTGAAAGGCATTCTTGTTAAAGATAATACCAATGCTTTGATAAAGATGTTTTTGGCGCATCTTTAGACGAAACCTTCAGCAACAGTTTTTCTGTCTGGGTATGCATGCAGGCTTAACTATAATTATTCTTTTCCTGCATTCTTCAAAGGGATGTAATTGCGTTGTTCTTCTGTACAACATAGTTGCGATATTTTCGCCTTTCTGCCAGTACTTCCGACTTAATGTGGCATTTATTCTTAATTCCTTTTATCTACAGCTGTTGCCTCTGGAGAACCCATTCAGGGCAACCACTTGTAGTTGTAGACTTGTCAGTCCCCAAGGGAAGGAAGGGGCAGATCATGGACTCTACTCCCCCCCCCCCCCCCCTCATCAAAGAAGCTGTCCATAAATGCAGGGCCAACACATGATGTTCTGGTCCTGGCTAACCCAAGGAATTGTCAGTTCCTGCTTATGACTGCTTAACCTCACATCCGTATGTTGAGCTTCCCACTCATCATGGGCCACACCCTCTGGAGATCAACAGGCAGCAGCCCACAGGTCCCAGACTTTGATGACCACACAAATGGGCACAGTTTTGTTCATCAGACTAGACACCATTAATGTTGCACTGGGACACTTGGCATGGCAGTATAAAGTAAGGATACATTGGGCAATGTGGGCATTGCAAACTGTTGAGACTCAGCCCTAGATCAGGATACTTGTTCAAATGACTGACATTTGAACCATATTTTGTCGTAAAGTAGGAAATGCGGCCAGTGGGCTTCACTCATGCTCCAGTTAAGTTTTTTTTATAATTATCACCCATGCATTGAGGGTGGGCTTGTGAAAGCCAGAGGATTTCTGGACACTGAATCTCTGTGGGCTACCTGCTCTGATATTACCCGCCTGCTGGGTTTAGGTCAGTATGAACCATTATTTATAGCAAATGACGCAGACCTGTGGCAGGAGTCTTGTACGAAGATCTGTAACACCAGCACAGAGCCTGCTGATGCCCGAGGTGAGAAACTAAGTATCTCCTTATACATATCACAGTGAGATTAACTTTCCCTTATGCTTGTGACCTAAATCACCGCACTGATTAACTTAAGTTATATTTGAGAGGTATATTCATGAAGGACATCATTTGATGGTCTGCTGTGTCCAGTGAGATTTTATCTTTTTTGTCCTTTTTTTTTTTAATAACATTAGAAAATTGTATAAAAGTATGTACTAGTCTTGTGTCAGATGTGTGAGCGAACATGAAGTATGCCGATACTGTTCACAACCCCATGCCTTCAACAATTGCCCGCTGGCAAAGCTGGACACAGACTTTAGGTCTCCCAATCCGAACAGGAAGTGCGCAAACTGCTACGGCCAGCACAGCACCAGATACCTGGGGTGCCCCTATCTGCAACAATGCAGAGAAATAGCAACCACGGCCATACGGGAAAAGATTCCATACCATGAGGCCCGCAGAAGACACGAAGCAACCCAAGGCATAACTGCAGCCATTACCACCAAATTGAGCAACGAGGTGGCTCAACTCAAAAGTGACATCCAAGCTCTCAGAGACGAGAAAGAAGCATCCAAATCCCAACGAGATGAAGACAGAGATGAAATAACAGGCCTGAGAGCTATAATGCAGGCGACTCTTAACACCCAGAAACGGATGACAGTAGAGATGACAAAATTCAAGGAGGACATCATGAATGCACTGGCCACTATCCAGACACAAAAGGAACAACCAACTAAAGCAAGGGAAGACGAGGCGGGCATCAATGATCTGCGGGATAACCAACAACTTCTCGCGAAAGAAGTCGCATTGATCAAGAAGGCACTAGCTGAAACAGAGGAAAAGTTACGTAGAGCATACAAAGAAAACAACAGACTTTTTAAGGAACTGCAAGCAACCAACAGAGTGATGGAAGAAAGAGAGAAAGCACGGAAAGAAGCAACAAGAAGGCAGCAAATAAAGGGAGCCGAGACCCAGAAAAAGCCACATCAAACACCAGATAAGAAAACATCAACGCCGCTGATGAAACAGTTTCCGGTCGAAACTACTAACCAAATAAACCAACGCATCAGGGAGCTGGAGGACCCGAACTTCTTTAACTCAGAACTGCAAGATGATGATGTTCTGTGGTCATCACCAAGGGACCATATCGACAGCCAAAACCTGAAGTCAAACGAGATCGACACCGTTACCTTAAACACTAATACCAGATACGACACAACCAAGGCCAAAATTACCGAAACCCTATGTAGGAAAAGTACAAGGATACGAGAAAATCACCAAATAATACCAGACCTCACCAGTATTGCCATCAGTACCTGCCCAAGTCAATCAAACGCCGGTCCTTCTTAGGATAGGCAATTTACTTTCCCCGGAAACAACAAACAGCCAAGGAATACCACAATAAATCGATTCAACACCCAATCATCTGGAGCGCAGCACAGGGCCAGCCAAATTACAAAAGCAACAGCAAGAGCGGAAACCACAACAAATAGAAAGCGACAAATATTGAACACAATCCAAAACCAAATGAGATCGAGACCAGAAAACGTCACCACAAATATAGCTGAAAGGAAAGTGAGCAGAAATGTGAGCGGACCTAGCTGAAAGTGGTCAACGAAAGAGAATTTGAAATTAGAATTTGTGTCAGATATCAGTACGTGATTGCAGTCAAGAGACAGTCGGTTTACCTGTTCACAGTTACAGTGCAGTTTCTGTTAACTGCAGCTCCAACTTCATGTTACGGTACATTGGTCATTCATACTTGCTCAGTTCTTATGCATCGAAAACAGCACAGAATGCTCATCACCGTCTCTTGTGGAAAAACTGAACCATATACAGAACAGTATTCAGATGTAATGAGGTTTTTAAAACTTATTTTGTTTTATTAAACCAGGTCTGGAGAAGTTTATTGGCTCGGCTGAGGCTGTGATAGAAGGGCAGGAGTGTCCAGACATTGTTGCTGGCTATTGCCGAAGCTCTCAGACATGCTCAGAGTTGTTTACCCTGATTGATCCAACTGGTCCCAAGATGAAAGCGAATGAGGTAGGTCTTATGATTTGCCAGGTTGGGAGGCTAGAGCAAAAATCACAAGTAGAAAAATGAACATCAATCTTAATAGTGCACTTGTCAGATCTCATCAACAAATTTTACATCTCCCCCCCCCCCCCCCACCACCACCACCACACACACACACATCGCTGAGGTACAGGATAGAAGAGAAGAATAAGAAGAAGGAAATGAAATCACAAGTAGAGCAAAAACATTAGAACAGACTGTTCTCTTGCCTGTTGTTGTATATATGGTTTTGTACTTCTTGTCTTATGAACTTTTGCTGGTGAATCCTTTATTAAACGGGCACACAATCAGACCCTCAGATACTTAGACAGGGCTAGCATATATCAGACTGGGTGTGAAGACACACACAGATCCTCAGATACTTAGACAGGGCTAGCATATATCAGACTGGGTGTGAAGACACACACAGATCCTCAGATACTTAGACAGGGTTAGCATATATCAGACTGGGTGTGAAGACACACACAGATCCTCAGATACTTAGACAGGGTTAGCATATATCAGACTGGGTGTGAAGACACACACAGACCCTCAGATACTTAGACAGGGCTAGCATATATCAGACTAGGTGTGAAGACACACAGATCCTCGGATACTTGGACAGGGCTAGCATATATCAGACTGGGTGTGAAGATACACACAGATCCTCGGATACTTGGACAGGGCTAGCATATATCAGACTGGGTGTGAAGACACACACAGATCCTCGGATACTTGGACAGGGCTAGCTTATATCAGACTAGGTGTGAAGATACACACAGATCCTCAGATACTTGGACAGGGCTAGCATATATCAGACTAGAAGTAAAGACACACACATATCCTCGGATACTTGGACAGGGCTAGCATATATCAGATTAGGTGTGAAGACACACACAGATCCTCGGATACTTGGACAGGGTTAGCATATATCAGACTAGATGTGAAGACACACACAGATCCTCAGATACTTGGACAGGGTTAGCATATATCAGACTAGGTGTGAAGACACACACAGATCCTCGGATACTTGGACAGGGCTAGCATATATCAGACTAGGTGTGAAGACACACACAGATCCTCGGATACTTGGACAGGGCTAGCATATATCAGACTGGGTGTGAAGACACACACAGATCCTTGGATACTTGGACAGGGCTAGCATATATCAGACTGGGTGTGAAGATACACACAGATCCTCAGATACTTGGACAGGGCTAGCATATATCAGACTGGGTGTGAAGACACACACAGATCCTCAGATACTTAGACAGGGCTAGCATAATATCAGACTGGGTGTGAAGACACACACAGATCCTCAGATACTTGGACAGGGCTAGCATATATCAGACTAGGTGTGAAGATACACACAGATCCTCAGATACTTGGACAGGGCTAGCATATATCAGACTAGAAGTAAAGACACACACAGATCCTCGGATACTTGGACAGGGCTAGCATATATCAGACTAGGTGTGAAGACACACACAGATCCTCGGATACTTGGACAGGGTTAGCATATATCAGACTAGGTGTGAAGACACACACAGATCCTCGGATACTTGGACAGGGCTAGCATATATCAGACTGGGTGTGAAGACACACACAGGTCCTCGGATACTTGGACAGGGCTAGCATATATCAGACTGGGTGTGAAGACACACACAGGTCCTCTGAGACTTGGACAGGGCTAGCATATATCAGACTAGGTGTGAAGACACACACAGATCCTCGGATACTTGGACAGGGCTAGCATATATCAGACTAGGTGTGAAGACACACACAGATCCTCGGATACTTTGGACAGGGCTAGCATATATCAGACTAGGTGTGAAGACACACACAGATCCTCGGATACTTGGACAGGGTTAGCATATATCAGACTCAGGTTTGTGTAGAGAATGTACGTCATGATGAGAACATCACATTCACACTGGCTGTGATTACACCTAAGCTGGTCATGTTTCCTACTGGGCATCTTTTAGTTGTGATAATTCACAGCCAACAGGCTTCACGTCAGTGCTTGAGGGAGACACAACCCTTCCTTGGAGGGGAAACAAGGATAGGACATTCAGGCCATCAGACATGCTAGCCACTGAACCACTTCAGTTCCTTTAAAAACTGTAGAAGCAGTTGAAACATATCTCGTTGTACATTATGTTTGTTTCTACAGCTGGCACTGGCTCCCAACATGTTGAAACATATCTCATCACATGTGATGTTTGTTTCTACAGCTGGCACTGGTTCCCATGTGTTGACACATATCTCCTCATACGTTATGTTTGTTTCTACAGCTGGCACTTGCTCCCATGTGTTGAAACATAACTTATAACCCATTATGTTTGTTTCTGTAGCTGGTACTAGCTCCTAGCATGTTGAAACATATCTCATAACAAGTGATGTTTATTTCTATTGCTGGCACTTGCTCCCATGTGTTGAAACATATCTTGTCATAAGTTATGTTTGTTTCTACAGCTGGCACTTGTGTTTCGATGTCTGGAACTGGTTCTGACTCGTATTCAGACAAATCTCTTGAAATTCTCCTCCACTGGTGAGGCTGTTGTACAGAAACTGTTGGCAGGTCACATGGGTCAAGTGTACAACTGTCTGCAAGAACAAAATAAGTAAGTTGGTGTGTCTGCTGTCATGTTGTTGCCACCTGTAGAAACTGTCTGCAAGAACAAAATAAGTAAGTTGGTGTGTCTGCTGTCATGTTGTTGCCACCTGTAGAAACTGTCTGCAAGAACAAAATAAGTAAGTTGGTGTGTCTGCTGTCATGTTGTTGCCACCTGTAGAAACTGTCTGCAAGAACAAAATAAGTAAGTTGGTGTGTCTGCTGTCATGTTGTTGCCACCTGTAGAAACTGTCTGCAAGAACAAAATAAGTAAGTTGGTGTGTCTGCTGTCATGTTGTTGCCACCTGTAGAAACTGTCTGCAAGAACAAAATAAGTAAGTTGGTGTGTCTGCTGTCATGTTGTTGCCACCTGTAGAAACTGTCTGCAAGAACAAAATAAGTAAGTTGGTGTGTCTGCTGTCATGTTGTTGCCACCTGTAGAAACTGTCTGCAAGAACAAAATAAGTAAGTTGGTGTGTCTGCTGTCATGTTGTTGCCACCTGTAGAAACTGTCTGCAAGAACAAAATAAGTAAGTTGGTGTGTCTGCTGTCATGTTGTTGCCACCTGTAGAAACTGTCTGCAAGAACAAAATAAGTAAGTTGGTGTGTCTGCTGTCATGTTGTTGCCACCTGTAGAAACTGTCTGCAAGAACAAAATAAGTAAGTTGGTGTGTCTGCTGTCATGTTGTTGCCACCTGTAGAAACTGTCTGCAAGAACAAAATAAGTAAGTTGGTGTGTCTGCTGTCATGTTGTTGCCACCTGTAGAAACTGTCTGCAAGAACAAAATAAGTAAGTTGGTGTGTCTGCTGTCATGTTGTTGCCACCTGTAGAAACTGTCTGCAAGAACAAAATAAGTAAGTTGGTGTGTCTGCTGTCATGTTGTTGCCACCTGTAGAAACTGTCTGCAAGAACAAAATAAGTAAGTTGGTGTGTCTGCTGTCATGTTGTTGCCACCTGTAGAAACTGGCAGAATAGAACACTTGTCTAGTCCTGACACATGTTTACTCCAAATCCATATATTTGATGAGACATGACATGATACTTGTAGAGCAAATGATTAGTCTAGTCCTGACACATGTTTACTCCAAATCCATATATTTGATGAGACATGACATGATACTTGTAGAGCAAATGATTAGTCTAGTCCTGACACATGTTTTACTCCAAATCCATATATTTGATGAGACATGTCATGATACTTGTAGAGCAAATGATTAGTCTAGTCCTGACACATGTTTACTCCAAATCCATATATTTGATGAGACATGACATGATACTTGTAGAGCAAATGATTAGTCTAGTCCTGACACATGTTTACTCCAAATCCATATATTTGATGAGACATGACATGATACTTGTAGAGCAAATGATTAGTCTAGTCCTGACACATGTTTACTCCAAATCCATATATTTGATGAGACATGACATGATACTTGTAGAGCAAATGATTAGTCTAGTCCTGACACATGTTTACTCCAAATCCATATATTTGATGAGACATGACATGATACTTGTAGAGCAAATGATTAGTCTAGTCCTGACACATGTTTACTCCAAATCCATATATTTGATGAGACATGACATGATACTTGTAGAGCAAATGATTAGTCTAGTCCTGACACATGTTTACTCCAAATCCATATATTTGATGAGACATGACATGATACTTGTAGAGCAAATGATTAGTCTAGTCCTGACACATGTTTACTCCAAATCCACATATTTGATGAGACATGTCATGATACTTGTAGAGCAAATGATTAGTCTAGTCCTGACACATGTTTACTACAAATCCATATATTTGATGAGACATGACATAATACTTGTAGAGCAAATGATTAGTCTAGTCTTTAACACATGTTTACTCCAAATCCATATATTTGATGAGACATGTCATGATACTTGTAGAGCAAATGATTAGTCTAGTCCTGACACATGTTTACTACAAATCCATTTATTTGATGAGACATGACATGATACTTGTAGAGCAAATGATTAGTCTAGTCCTGACACATGTTTACTCCAAATCCATATATTTGATGAGACATGACATGATACTTGTAGAGCAAATGATTAGTCTAGTCCTGACACATGTTTACTCCAAATCCATATATTTGATGAGACATGACATGATACTTGTAGAGCAAATGATTAGTCTAGTCCTGACACATGTTTACTCCAAATCCATATATTTGATGAGACATGACATGATACTTGTAGAGCAAATGATTAGTCTAGTCCTGACACATGTTTACTACAAATCCATTTATTTGATGAGACATGACATGATACTTGTAGAGCAAATGATTAGTCTAGTCCTGACACATGTTTACTCCAAATCCATATATTTGATGAGACATGTCATGATACTTGTAGAGCAAATGATTAGTCTAGTCCTGACACATGTTTACTCCAAATCCATATATTTGATGAGACATGACATGATACTTGTAGAGCAAATGATTAGTCTAGTCCTGACACATGTTTACTCAAATCCATATATTTGATGAGACATGACATGATACTTGTAGAGCAAATGATTAGTCTAGTCCTGACACATGTTTACTCCAAATCCATATATTTGATGAGACATGACATGATACTTGTAGAGCAAATGATTAGTCTAGTCCTGACACATGTTTACTCCAAATCCATATATTTGATGAGACATGACATGATACTTGTAGAGCAAATGATTAGTCTAGTCCTGACACATGTTTACTCCAAATCCATATATTTGATGAGACATGTCATGATACTTGTAGAGCAAATGATTAGTCTAGTCCTGACACATGTTTACTCCAAATCCATATATTTGATGAGACATGACATGATACTTGTAGAGCAAATGATTAGTCTAGTCCTGACACATGTTTACTCCAAATCCATATATTTGATGAGACATGTCATGATACTTGTAGAGCAAATGATTAGTCTAGTCCTGACACATGTTTACTCCAAATCCATATATTTGATGAGACATGACATGATACTTGTAGAGCAAATGATTAGTCTAGTCCTGACACATGTTTACTCCAAATCCACATATTTGATGAGACATGTCATGATACTTGTAGAGCAAATGATTAGTCTAGTCCTGACACATGTTTACTACAAATCCATATATTTGATGAGACATGACATAATACTTGTAGAGCAAATGATTAGTCTAGTCTTTAACACATGTTTACTCCAAATCCATATATTTGATGAGACATGTCATGATACTTGTAGAGCAAATGATTAGTCTAGTCCTGACACATGTTTACTACAAATCCATTTATTTGATGAGACATGACATGATACTTGTAGAGCAAATGATTAGTCTAGTCCTGACACATGTTTACTACAAATCCATTTATTTGATGAGACATGACATGATACTTGTAGAGCAAATGATAAGTCTAGTCCTGACACATGTTTACTACAAATCCATTTATTTGATGAGACATGACATGATACTTGTAGAGCAAATGATTAGTCTAGTCTTTAACACATGTTTACTCCAAATTCATTTATTTGATGAGACATGACATGATACTTGTAGAGCAAATGATTAGTCTAGTCCTGACACATGTTTACTACAAATCCATTTATTTGATGAGACATGTCATGATACTTGTAGAGCAAATGATTAGTCTAGTCCTGACACATGTTTACTACAAATCCATTTATTTGATGAGACATGACATGATACTTGTAGAGCAAATGATTAGTCTAGTCCTGACACATGTTTACTACAAATCCATTTATTTGATGAGACATGACATGATACTTGTAGAGCAAATGATTAGTCTAGTCCTGACACATGTTTACTACAAATCCATTTATTTGATGAGACATGACATGATACTTGTAGAGCAAATGATTAGTCTAGTCTTTAACACATGTTTACTCCAAATTCATTTATTTGATGAGACATGTCATGATACTTGTAGAGCAAATGATTAGTCTAGTCCTGACACATCTTTACTACAAATTCACATATTTGATGAGACATGTCATGATACTTGTAGAACAAATGATTAGTCTAGTCTTTAACACATGTTTACTACAAATTCACATATTTATTGTGATCTGTCATGATACTTGTAGAACAAATGATTAGTCTAGTCTTTAACACATGTTTACTACAAATTCACATATTTATTGTGATCTGTCCTGATACTTGTAGAGCAAATGATTAGTCTAGTCTTTAACACATGTTTACTCCAAATCCATATATTTGATGAGACATGTCATGATACTTGTAGAGCAAATGATTAGTCTAGTCCTGACACATGTTTACTCCAAATCCATATATTTGATGAGACATGTCATGATACTTGTAGAGCAAATGATTAGTCTAGTCTTTAACACATGTTTACTACAAATCCATATATTTGATGAGACATGACATGATACTTGTAGAGCAAATGATTAGTCTAGTCCTGACACATGTTTACTCCAAATCCATATATTTGATGAGACATGACATGATACTTGTAGAGCAAATGATTAGTCTAGTCCTGACACATGTTTACTACAAATCCATTTATTTGATGAGACATGACATGATACTTGTAGAGCAAATGATTAGTCTAGTCTTTAACACATGTTTACTCCAAATTCATTTATTTGATGAGACATGACATGATACTTGTAGAGCAAATGATTAGTCTAGTCCTGACACATGTTTACTACAAATTCACATATTTGATGAGACATGTCATGATACTTGCAGAGCAAATGATTAGTCTAGTCCTGACACATCTTTACTACAAATTCACACATTTGCTGTGACCTGTCATGATACTTGTAGAACAAATGATTAGTCTAGTCCTGATACATGTTTACTACAAATTCACACATTTGCTGTGACCTGTCATGATACTTGTAGAACAAACGATTAGTCTAGTCCTGATACATGTTTACTACAAATTCACATATTTGCTGTGACCTGTCATGATACTTGTAGAACAAATGATTAGTCTAGTCCTGACACATGTTTACTACAAATTCACATATTTGTTGTGACCTGTCATATTTGCAGAAGAGAACATTGATCTAGACATTACGCATGCTTACTCCAGTTTTACTTGTTTGGTCTACAGATCTAAGACAATCAAAGCTGCTCTTCGTTTACTAACCTCCATGGTTCGGCTAAGTGACAGAGCAAAGAAAGCTGTCCAATCAAGACTCAATTTTGCGCATGCGACATTCCCACCCATATTTCGGCGCAGAAACCGGAAGGTAATTTATTAGCAGTGCCTAAAATTGGAGTCATTAGTGAGGTATTTGTAATAGGGCTACATTCCTTTGGGAACATAGCAACAGGCATATTGGTTATTGTAGGCAACAGTCCCTGATGACCATGGAGTTGTGCCGCTGGTTTTGGAAACAGCATCTGCTGTGATGTCATGCACCATAAAGTTATGCACTGCTTAACTCATTAGTTGTGTGGCATTTGGTGGTGGAATGTTGTTGCTGAAGTACAGCCAAAATCATTTCGTTAACTTGCTGGGTTGTTAAATTGATTTTATTCAGTGGAACACCATGCTCTATGGTCATGAACAAAATCATCAAAATTCAGGATTTGAACTCAAAAATAGCAGACTGGTGTTTCGACTATGCTATCACAAATTGTTTATGTCAGCACTTCTTGAGGAAGAAAATTATGAATGCCAGTGTATTGTTTGCTTTGAGCGTCATAAGACTACAATTCAAACAATATTTTAATCTCTCTTTCTCTCATTTCATTCCTCTCTCCCTCTTTTTCACTTCAACTTCTCGCCCAACCCGCCTACCTTACCCACCACTTTCCCTTATCTGCTTCCAGATCGCACCAGTCTGTGACATGTTTGGACCATCATGTCTAGTTGCTGACTGTCCTTTCATCATCATCACCTTCTAGGTCCTTTCACTCGGATGTGACTATGTATTGAATGTGCAAATATGATGATAATCACCCGCAACTTGTGAAGGATGTTATCTTCTGTCTAACTCACTTAAGTAAATGTTGGACATTTGTTTGTGCCAGGACCCTAACGATGTCAGAAGCTGTGCCGTGGCGTTGACCTTGTCCTTCTTGCAAGACAGTGACCTCAGCACCATCAGCTCGCTGGTTCAGCAGAGAAGTATGTAAATGTTGGTTGACATCGGTATTTCTTGTGAATGTAGTGTTTTTGTATGCACATTAGTTCCAGTCAATAGATTTAGTGAATCCAGTCAGTAGTTTTATTGAACACATTAGTTATTATGCGCACATTAGTTCTAATCATTAGTTATTGTATACACATTAGTTCCAGTCATTTGTTTTTGTGCACACATTAGTTACAGACTATAATTCTTGTGAACATAGTTCTTGTATAATTAGTTTTTGTGAACATGTTAGTTCCAGTCATTAGTTTTAATGCACACGTTAGTTCTGGTCACAAGATCTTATGCACACCGTTCCAGTCATTAATTCTTGTGCACACAGTTCCAGTTATAAGTTCTGGTGCACACATTAGTTCTTGTGTACACATTAGTTCTTGTACACACTTTGTGCAAACATTATTTTCAGTCATCATTTCAGGCGCACACATTAGATTGTGTTACAAGTGTATTTATTAGTTGTTTTGGTTTTTATGGTTAAATGAATTTGTTTGAGGGGGGGGGGGGGGGGGGGGGGGGGGGGGGCAGAAGAATATTCATGTGTGTGTTGTTCTTTGTTTCAGCATTTCTTCAACAAGTGATTGGTGGGCTGAAGTACGATAGACATGACCTTGTACTGGAGACATTGGCAACATTACTAGACAAGGTAGGGGTTGCTTTCCTTGTTATAGGTGTACTAGCTCATACACGACCACTTTTCTTTGCACATGGCTATCTCAATCCCTTCATCAGTCTTCTCATGTTAATCACAGAAAGAGAATCTCAACACAAACTTTGCAGTACCGGTGAGAGTCTACATGCATGAATATACTAGAATCCACATGCTATAAACTCTGCAGAGTTCTGGTTGTTCATCCACTTCTGGATTTTAGTCTTGTTCCAGAACTTTTACGTGCACATCTGTTTTACAGATCTGACTTATGTGTAAGCAGACTTGTTTCCTTTTCTGTCAGGCATATGCACTCTAAGTTTGAAGAAAACATTCTTAATTAGTCAACTTTTATGACACACTTGCTAGGGGAAAGGAAGTGGGGTAGTGGATCTACCCCCCCCCTCCCCCCCCCCCCCCCGGCCAAAAAAAGAGGCCCCAGAACCCACACAAGAAAATCTGGTTATCAATAAGCCCACTTTTTGCCACATGCATGCCACCTGTTTTACCTACTGTGTACAGTGCCTTAATGGAAACAGATTTTACCATATGTTCAGTTGTCTTTCTTTTAACTCTTTGAGTCCAAGGGGGTTTAGCATCAGAGGCCCAAGGGGTAGTCAAAAGAGACGTAAAATTGGCGCATCACGCGTTCATTGGGCCTCTAGGTAGGAATCTATGAACGTATGATGCGTTCCTTGGTACTCAGAAAGTTAACCAAAAAAGGCTAGACATAGAGAATCCATAGGATGGGGCAAGAATAGGCCATCTGCATTTCGTTGAACAATTTCTGTTTGAGTTAAAGCAGCAAGTTGGGGAGGGTTTGGCCGAAATTAGTTGGGATGGGTGGAAAAGCACAGATATCACAGCCTGGAAATAAACAATACACCATGTCAGCAGTACTTCTAAGGGCAGTTGCAGAAGAATAGAGGGTACTATGTTTATAACATACCCCTGACGTCACGGGAGACATTCCCAATAAATTCCAGGGTGTTGAGGTTGAGGTTTCTGCCCATCCAAGTTCGCATCGCAAAAGCGTCCCTGACATAGTGCATAATCAACTGTTGGACTGTTTTATTTCTTATCTACATATTCTTATGAGCAGCGACGGCAAAAGTTAACAAATAAGGCTGAATCTTAGAAGGGAACTTTGTTGACAAGTGTTTCTCTGAGTCGTCCTTTTATGGGAACGCAAGTAGTCTGTGATCTTTCAAGTGGTAACACTAAGTTAGCTTGTTCTGTATGATCTTTCAAGTGGTCACAATGCAGAGGGGAGTGACGAGAGGTTCTGGCAGATGCTCAAGGCTCAGAAGAAAGGTAGGACGGAGGTTTAAATTCTGGAATCATTAGTATCGCAGCTCTTGGTTGGCTGCTGAAGGACGGATCGCATATGGGAATGCCCTGAGTGCTGTGATGTCGGTTCTTGAATCACATCAAATCAAGTGGTCACATTGTTGGCTTGTCTTGTGATCTTTCAGGTGGTCACTTTGCCTGGACTTACCAAGACAGAGAAGGTCAAGCTGTTCTCTGAGATGGTTCTCAAACAACTGTGTGAACTCTATGACTGGCAGGGTCCCACTGGCTGGGTACCTGGAGGGAAGAAGCGAAAGAAGGATGATGAGGTAGGTAATTTGGGTTTGTGACCCATACATGCTGTGTCAGGAATATCAGTTTGTGGGCATAATGTAAACAACCGATGCTGTATGAGGATGAGAAGGTTTTGATGAGATGTAGAATGTTCTGTGTAATATTTGCAAACTGGGATGAGAAAGAGTTCTCAAAAGTTATACATTACCAGTCCTTGTGTGTGTGTGAGTGAATCATGTAGTCAGTCAGTAGATCAGTGAGATATTATGTGGCAGCTGCAGAGATGTGATCTTCTATTAGAAAGGTGAGAACAGCATAAGTAAAGTAAAGTGAATGACCCTTGTCCACACCTTCAGGCATATTGGGCATTTGGACTAGACCTGTATTTTATAGACCAGTATTTTATAGACCAGTATTTTATAGACCAGTATTTTATAGACCAGTATTTTATAGACCAGTATTTTATAGACCAGTATTTTATAGACCAGTCAGAAGTTGGTGGATGATGTCAGCATCAGGCCGGCTGCCCTGACAGGACTTTTAACTAGTGCCCATTTAAGGCTGAGTCCACCTGGAAGCCAAGGTCACTTTTGAAAAAAAGTCCAGCACCATCTGGATGAGAACAACATGGACAGATTTTTAAAAAGTGTAATGATGTCTTGAAAAAAAAGGAATTCATAACATGAAACTGGTTACCTGCATCAGAAAAAAGCAATCTGCATATCATGAGCTGAAGTTTGCTGTGACAGCAGGAAAGTTTGAAGACCCAACCCAGTTTTATAAATCTCAGAGTTACTGCCCTTGTTGCTCACATCCTTTTTTCTAGACAGTGTTTTATCATGGCGGTCGCACACATATCTGTTCTTACTACCGGCCAGACAGACATGCGACTCCTATCGGAGACACATCCTTTAAGTGATTTTGTATATTTGTGTTGATTGCAGATTTTTGGTATGTGCTGATGAAGGCTTTCGAGCCACACCATTAACTGGTTCTACTTTTTGTTTGGTTTGATATCTTTTCACACAAGGAGAAAAGGGAGGCTTAGAGAATGAACAAATAAAATATATTGTCAAAGGGTCACAACTTGGGTTGTCAATCTTACATTCTGCCCTTCCAAACACTCACCATTGACCCAGCAGATAGGAAATGTTAGGAAGTTTCGAATCATGACATGGAATGCCAACATCAGAAATAATTGGCTGTATGTGAGACAAGCAAGTTGATACTTTTAAGTATTTGAGTGTCCTGGATAAATGGAAGATGTATTAAAGAAGTTTAATGTAGAAAAGCCCAAGCAAAGGCAGCATTTTACATGAAGTCTGTTCTACGCAATCTTTTTTTTTTCATTGGAGATGAGAAAGTTAATTTTTAAAAGCTATATAACCTTAGTCTGATATCCAGAAGCATGGATTGTTGGTTGATTAGTGAACAAATTATTTGGAAGCTGTGGAGATGCGCTTTTATAGACAAATGATGAGAATACCCTAGACAGAAAAAAATGGGTAATGAAAATGTCTTGAAAGAAACAGACTCATGGAGAGAACTGATTGCCAGCATCAGAAGGACAGGGTTCGTAGTGGACCGGGAAATCGGGAAATTACCGGGATTTTTTTCGTTGACCTTGAACCGGGATTTTTAGCTTATAAAAGACATTCCGACCTTAAAAACCCGTGAATTTTGACCGCGGCAATGAAATCGTCAGAAATCCTGTGTTTTTCAGCACAGGCAATTTTGAGGGAGCCATTTGGCTTTTTTGGCCATTTGGCTAGTTTTTGGCTACTTTCGTTGTATGGTCGTTTCAGGTGTGAGGGCAGCTGATTATTGGCTATTTTCAGCCGAAATGGCTTGTTAAAGGCCAGGGGAGGGCGGGCTTTGTTGCTGATCATGAAAACATGCAGACAGCAGCGGTGTGGCATGGGGCGGGAAGTAGCAGATTCCGTCTCGCGCGCGTGTGTGTGTGTGCCTTTGTTTCTAGCGAGTCCGGCAGAATGAACAGTTTAAATCGTTTATGGCCGTGGTTTCTAGAAAGGATTACATTGGGAGATGGTGGGGCTCGGTGCAGTTGTATTTATAAATAGAGTCGCCGTGGTGGGGGCTAAGCACGGCCTTCTCTATTAATTAGAGATGGCATTGGGGCTAAGCAAAGTGACTGCAGCTGGATTTCCCAGTTCTATTTTTGGCCTGGATTTATCTTTACAGTGTGTTTGGCGATCAGTATTGTAATTCCCCGAGATTCCCTCTTCTGTTGTCTCACCCCTCTCTCTCTCTCTTCCCTCCCTCTTTCACTCTTCTACCTATTGCTCCTTCCTTCCCGTCTCCTGCATTGTCTCTAACCCTCCCTTCTGATCTTCATCTTCTTCTCTTTCTCTCTATCTTTTCTTTTAACTCTCATTTCCTGTCCCCCTCCCCCTTTTTCCTATTTTATTTCTTGTTTAAATGTTTAGTAAATGTGCGGCTCCATAACTCTTCCTAGCAACTCAAGTACACAGGAAGTTGTATTGGGGGGGGGGGGGGGGGGGGCATTCTGTGTGAACATGGTGGATATTTTCATTTGATGTGTTTTTGTTTTTCCTAGCGGCCTTAATCTCTGTCCATCTCCCTTCCCGCCCCCTCACATTTTTGTCCTACCTGTTCCTCACTCTCTGACTGTCTGTGTCACTGCTTTCCTCTCTCTCTTTGTATTGCCGCTCTCCCTCACTCCCTCCCTCTCTTTCTCTCTCTCTCTTTCTTTTCTTTCTCCATACCTTCAGTTGGTGTATAAGGTTATGTGTTGCCTAGTGCAGAACATTTCATGTCCATCATTCCCCCCTCCCACACATTAAATATATGTGTACTTTTAAAAACACATTTGCCGTCACCTTCCCCCCCCCCCCCTTTTCTCCTCCCACATTGATGACACCTAGGGGAGGGAGTGCACCCCTTCCTGCTACCTTCTTCCCTCTATATCTCATCTTATTTCTTACTCCCTTCTTTCTCTCCCTGTCTCATTCCCACTTTATTTTCTTAAACTTTATTCTCTCACCTCCTCTGTCTCACCCTTACCACCTCAGCCTTCTACACCACTTTCCACCACCTCCTCTCTCCCCTCCTTTCTGTAATTGGAAAACCAGAAATAAAATGAAGTCCACTGCTGCCCTGACCTATTTATGTGTCTGACCTATTTATGTGTGTGGGTAAACTTCTCTATTTTCCACCAGTGGTGGGTTGGGATCCCCTGGACTTTTTTTTTTCTTCATAAAATGACCTTGGCTCTCAGGTCACCAGCCTTAAGTGTAAGAAATTGAATTATTGTTGTCACACACAGATAGGACAAGCAAGGGGCAGTAGGGGTTAGCACTGTTGTTTTTGGACCACGGCCACATTCACATTGGGAGAGGGTAGGAACCGGAAAAGTGGCCTCACTTAGAGATTTCCTAATTCTATTTTGGGCACTCATTGTTCTTACACCCCCCACAACCGTGTCTTACCTTTCTTCTCTCACCCCTTCTCTTTCCTTTGATCTTCTACTATTCTCCTTTATCTCTTTATTCTTCCTCTCTTCCTTTCCTTGCCCTTTCTCCTGTCCCATCTCTTCTTTGTCTCCTCTCCATCCTGTCTTTTCATTTTCTCTAGATTTCCTTACCCGCTCCCCTCTCTCATTCTCTTCCCCCCCCCCCCCCATTTTTTTTACCTGGTTCATCTACATATTTTTTTGCCCCATAACTATCTTTTCCTAGTGGTTGTGTCCACTACACTTGAAATTGGGGGGGGGGGGGGGGGGGGTGGGTGGCTGTTTTTTTTCTTCTTTGAGGTATCTTGTCTCCCTTCCTTCCCCCTCTCTTAATCTGTGTTTGTCACTGCCTTCCTTACCCACCTTTCTCTCTCTCTCTTGCTTTATGTCTGTTTGCCTCCCTTCATCACTTCCTCTTTGTATACCTCCCTCCCATTCTCCTGCTCTGCCTTTTTTCTCTTTCTTTGGTTCTCTCCCTCTGTCTGCTTGCCTCTCTGTGCTGTCCCTTTGTCTCTCTCTCCTTTATGTCTACATCTCTCTCTGCTTGCATCTGCTTCTCACCCTGTCCGTTCTCTCTCCCTCTGTCTCCCTTCTTTCAACTCTTTGTCATATTTTCCTCCTTCCATATCTCTGTTTCGTTCCCTTTTTCCTTCTCTTTTCATCTGCCCATCTCTGTATCTGCATTCCCTCTTTCTGTATTTGTCTCCCTCTCTGTCTTTCGCTGTCCCTTCCCCACTTTTCCTCATCATGTTTCCATCCCTCTCTCTCATTTTTTCCTCCTTCCCCAGACTTCTTTTCCTTCTTTTCTCTACCTTCATCTGTCCATCTTTACACTGTCTCTCCCAGCCTACCTCAGCATGTGTCTTCCTCTCTCTTCATGACTCTCTCTCTCTCCCCTAACCCTCTCAGGTACCAGGTCCAGAACAGACAGGACTTCAGTTTGCTGCCCTCTACCACCAAGCCCTAAAAAAAATTTCAAACACTATATCAAGCTCAGGGGCCGACCAACACGAAGATGGACACAGGATATAAGTGACTCCTTGAGTATAAAAAAGTACATGAGGCGGGAGAGCTGGTGAGAGACCGAGTTTTTTTTTGTCAGGACAAAGGAAATGCTACATGATGATGATATCTGTGCTGGTATACCAACACATGTGGCACAAATGAAGTACCTTGTGTGCTCAGTACACCCTTGAACAAGGCAAAAATCTTGTATTAGTATTACACCGAGACAACCTTGAAAAAAACTAAGAAGACCTTGAAAAAGACCTTGAAAAGCCTTGAAATTGATTGGTAAATTTGGCTATGAACCCTGGAAGGACAAGATCTACACTGTTTAGTCATGGCATGAGGAGAAAACTGGAGTACTTGGTGACTATAGGAAAGTTTAAGGAGAAAGAGGCAGAGGGAGATTGAGAGAGAAAATGCTGGACAGTTTGACATGACATGGAGGATCAACTATGTCAGAGTTGGCTAAAAGCACATGAGACTGAGGGCTGTAGTTAAAAATAACTACCAACACCACTGGGTGTGGGCATTGAGAAGAAGAAGACCAGCAGTGGGACACATGTAGGCAGAGAGGGTGACCAGCGCAACATGGCATGGGCTCTCAAGATGAACATGCTAGCTTTTTCTGGACTGTGAGAGCTTGTCTGGCAAGGTCAGTTTTATTGCTGTTTCCGTTTCCCTTGTCTTGTTTGGTGGTGCAGCCAGCCTGTTGATATGTTGGTACGACAGAATATTAGCATTCCTTCTTGCATTCCTGTATGGTGATACACAAGGAAAACTATGAGTTAATTAGAGACTGTTCTCTTACCTTTTAGCCCAGGGTCATACCTGAAGGATTTTCGGAAGATCAAGAGGCGGTGGCCAACGTGGCACATGCATTTCTGTTGGAAGTCTGCTGCTCCCATAAACATGGGCTCAACTTTTATGACAAGTCACTCGGCACAGGAAACAGGTATGTTAGCTGTAAGCATAAATACAGGACTCAGATATGTTAAGCAGAAAGGTAATCACTAGCTAAATCATTAATACCATTTCTTTTTTAATGAGGTAAATACAGGTAAAGTCGGGAAGATGTGAACCAGCGTCACTGCACATGGTTATAAACCCAAAGTGCTCTGCCAGAAACTGTCCCCATACCACCCAGTTTTAAACGCGGCTGTATTTAAAAACGAGTCTCCTATCGACTGCACTATTGCGGCCCCTAATGAGGTAAATATGCACTAGGAGGGACTGGAAAGTCAGATTTACTTAGTATGCTGTGACCTAAGGTAGCAGGAGAGCACATCCTGAAATGGTTGGGACTCGCTGTCAAGGGCACACACTGAGATGGTTGGGACTCACTGTCAAGGGCACACCCTGAGATGGTTGGGACTCGCTGTCAAGGGCACACCCTGAGATGGTTGGGACTCGCTGTCAAGGGCACACCCTGAGATGGTTGGGACTCGCTGTCAAGGGCACACCCTGAGATGGTTGGGACTCGCTGTCAAGGGCACACCCTGAGATGGTTAGGACTCGCTGTCAAGGGCACACCCTGAGATGGTTGGGACTCACTGTCAAGTGCCTGTTATTAACCCTCGTACTTGTGTCTTGATCATTTACAACAAGGCTGCAATATCTGAATTGTCATCTTCTAGGAACTATAACCAGCTGCTGGCCCACCTGGTGGACTGGCTGGTCAAGAAAATGGACAAGCCCAAAATTGCAGATCTCATTATTGGAATATTATGTGCCTGTCCTGACCTGATAAAAGCCACACTTACCAACCTGTGCCCTTCGCTGACTCCTCGCTGGTCAGACAAGTGGAGACAACTCATGGGCTGGTTGATAAAGGTGGGTGATGTTGCTTCTGTGGTTTGTCAAATAGTTTTTTTTTTTTTTTAATATATCAGGAAACTACATTCATTCATTCACAAAACCTGTTGTGGTCTATGACCTGTTTAAAATAGCTGTTGCAGTTCTTTCTGAGCAGGTGGGGCCAAATGTGTTCACACAGGAATGGCTAACTACAGTGAGTGGCTTGGTTCCTGTCAGTTATCTTCTCATGTCTGTAAACATGCTTTGATAGGATAATGAAATACAGAACTACATGTGATGTGCCCCATCAGAGCAGAAGCAAGGGGGAAAAAAGAATAAGATTAATTGATTACTCTCATAAGATGCTTGGAGTGTGGCCAGAAAACTATGTATTAAATTATAGATATCTGTAAATATGGTTAACCTGTTGACGGAAGTCACTGACAGTTGTGTTCAATCCGTTCAGTTGTACAGGAAGTTGCCAGACATCCCACAGTTCCTTTCAAGCCTGGACTACTTCAAAGAGGATCACATCACCGTTGTTTCCATGGCAACCAAGTTTTGTCTACCGCCAACAAATGTGGCCGCCATACTAACCCAGGGCCTCAAGGTAGGCCAGACTACTTTCATTGTAATAAGTTTTTAACAGAGTATCATAGTGTAAACAGTTGTTTACAGACTAACATGGTGTAATCATGGTTTCAGGGTGTCAAAGTGTAATCAGTTGTTTACAGAGTATCAAGTTTAATCACTTGTTTGCAGGGTAGGTAGCATAGTGTAATCAGTTGTTTGCAGGGTATCATAATGTTTAATTTAGTCAACAGATCAACATCATGGTACACCCAAAAGTGCTTTGTTCTACTTCTAACTCAAGCATGAGTCTGAAGAATCACAGTGCAGTGCACAAACTCTAGCACCGACGAGGATCCTGAAATACTTTGGATAGATTTTAAAATCCAAATGTTGCTTGAGCAGCGCCATTAGGCTACTCTTTTTTGATTTCCAACTGCCAGGTTCATTTTTACATGTGCAACAATACACATGGGCATCCGATCTTACTAGCCAGAGACCAGGGTGTAATCAGTTGTTTACAGGGTATCATGGTGTAATCAGTTGTTTGCAGGGTATCATAGTGTAATCAGTTGTTTACATAGTATCATGGTGTAAACAATTGTTTACAGGGTATCATAGTGTAATCAGTTGTTTACATGGTATCATTATGTAATCAGTTGTTTACAGGGTGTCATAGTGTAATCAGTTGTTTACAAGGTATCATGGTGTAATCAGTTGTTTACAAGGTATCATGGTGTGATCAGTTGTTTACAGGGTATCATAGTGTAATCAGTTGTTTACATGGTATCATTATGTAATCAGTTGTTTACAGGGTGTCATAGTGTAATCAGTTGTTTACAAGGTATCATAGTGTAATCAGTTGTTTACAAGGTATCATGGTGTGATCAGTTGTTTACAGGGTATCATAGTGTAATCAGTTGTTTACATGGTATCATTATGTAATCAGTTGTTTACAGGGTATCATAGTGTAATCAGTTGTTTACATGGTATCATTATGTAATCAGTTGTTTACAGGGTGTCATAGTGTAATCAGTTGTTTACAGGGTATCATGGTGTAATCAGTTGCTTACAGGGTATCATGGTGTAATCAGTTGTTTACAGGGTCTCATAGTGTAATCATTTGTTGCAGCGTGTCATAGTGTAATCAGTTGTTTACAGGGTACCATGGTGTATTCAGTTGTTTACATGGTATCATGGTGTAATCTAGCCACTACAGTTTCGGAAATTTTCGATCTTTTCGACAATTTCCTTTACCATAGAAACCGTTTGAACCTTGTTTCGGAAATGTCGGCTGGGGTTTCGGGATGGGTCCTAATCTCTCATGAAATTTTGCGATTGGTGTGGTTTTCACCCACTCTAAATAGCTGAAAACGGCGGGAATGAACTTAACAGCGCATGTCTACGACAGCCGGACGTCCTGTTTTTCTGTTAGTCATCAGTTTGATTGAAAATAGCGGTAAATTCGAGGTTGGCTTTAGGCTTTAACTGTTACTGTACCTGGTAATGCTAGTGACATGTAGATGTACAGTGACATTTTTTAGGCAATCGCATGCGGCTGAGTGAGCTGAGTCTCATTGCCTGCCATCTTGTCCAATGTCAACAAAGCCGATACAGAACTGCGCAGTTGGTTGCGCAGAGAAAAACTTCTTGTTTCTGGGTCACAAGTTTTAGCGGCTGTTTCTTACATCTCATCTCCACAAAAACCTACATATCTCAGCTCAGAAATGACATACAAGCCTAAATGAGGTACCATTGGAAAGAGATTGTTTACAGCTATCTAACTGTGCTGGTTTTATTGGTGTAGAGGGCATAAAATTTTACTGAAGTAGCTATGTAATCATTTGTTACAGGATGCATAGTGTAATCAGTTGTTTAAGGGTATCATAGTGTAATCAGTTTGCAGGGTATCTTAGTGTGATCAGTTTGCAGGGTATCTTAGTGTGATCAGTTTGCAGGGTATCTTAGTGTGATCAGTTTGCAGGGTACCTTAGTGTGATCAGTTTGCAGGGTATCTTAGTGTGATCAGTTTGCAGGGTATCTTAGTGTGATCAGTTTGCAGGGTATCTTAGTGTGATCAGTTTGCAGGGTATCTTAGTGTGATCAGTTTGCAGGGTATCTTAGTGTGATCAGTTTGCAGGGTACCTTAGTGTGATCAGTTTGCAGGGTATCTTAGTGTGATCAGTTTGCAGGGTATCTTAGTGTGATCAGTTTGCAGGGTATCTTAGTGTGATCAGTTTGCAGGGTATCTTAGTGTGATCAGTTTGCAGGGTATCTTAGTGTGATCAGTTTGCAGGGTATCTTAGTGTGATCAGTTTGCAGGGTATCTTAGTGTGATCAGTTTGCAGGGTATCTTAGTGTGATCAGTTTGCAGGGTATCATAGTGTAATCAGTTGTTTACAGGGTATCTTAGTGTAATCAATTGTTTACAGGGTATCTTAGTGTGATCAGTTTGCAGGGTATCATAGTGTGATCAGTTTGCAGGGTATCTTAGTGTGATCAGTTGTTTACAGGGTATCTTAGTGTAATCAATTGGTGTATATAGTACTTGACCGATATTTTTATCAATCCAGACTGGATAATGTGAGTATCACCACGACTGCTTTTACTTCCCAGAACACTTTCTGGGATACAGTTTGAGCTAAGTCAGCCTAGGTTAGGTTTTTGAAAGCTTCCTGTCACTAGGGGAACATTTTTACCATTGTTAGCAGGCATGTATGGTATCTCTGCACCAGGTTCTTAGATTATCTAGTGGTGAAGTGTGTCATCCTGCACTATTGCAGTTCTCAGATTATCTAGCACTGAAATATGTAATCCTGGACTAGGATAGTTCTCAGATTATTTAGTGGTGAAGTGTGTCATCCTGCACTATTGCAGTTCTCAGATTATCTAGCACTGAAATATTTAATCCTGGACTAGGGTAGTTCTCAGATTATCTAGCACTGAAATGTTTAATCCTGGACTAGGGTAGTTCTCAGATTATCTAGCACTAAAGTGTGTAATCCTGGACTATGGCAGTTCTCAGATTATCTAGCACATCATGAGTTTGTTTGATGCCTACAGCACGAGGACATTCGGGTGCGGGACAAGTGTGCTCACTTGGTCCAGGTGTTGGCTAAGAAGGCTTGTGCTGTACAGGAAAAACTGTCACTGGATGTTGCATCAAACACGATGACTGCTTCTCTAGCTGACAGCAGCATCTTGGATCTGTTCACTGTCACTGTGATGAAGGTAGGACAGTATCTAGGGCTGAATGATGGGTACTTCAAGATGCTCTTTATCTTTTTATGTGTATGTGCCTGTGTGAGAGCGAGTGAATGAGCAAGAGTCGCGTATGTGGGTATATTTTAATGTGCGCACTTGCCAGATATGCTTTTTAGTGTTTTTATATGCTCTTTATATTGTATATTCTGCTGTATTGACATATCATGTTTATAGATATAATACAATTGTGGTGTGAGAGAGGGATGCTTAACGGGGCAGAATGTAAGACAGGCCTGTGTTGCCTATTTATGACCCTCTAAAGCTAAGGATGCTTCATTGGTTCCTCTCCTTATACTAATTACAGTTTAAACAACATCATGGCACACAGGTAGTAACCTGTAAGTGCTCCCTTCTTCTTCTAACTCAGAGTCTGAGTCTGAAGAGGCTCAGTACAGTGCACCAGCGAGGATTCTTAAATACCTTTGGGTAGATTTTTAACTCCACATTTTGTCCGGGCAGCACCGTTAGGTTACTCTCCAACTGCCACGGGCGTCCGATTTTACTACCCAGAGACTAAGGGGGAATTACTAGAAGTCCAAGTCAGTGTGAAAATATCCCAGCCCCTGCCGCGTGTTGAACCGGGAACCTCTAGCACTCGAGGCTGGCACCATGCCTCGAGACCATGCAGCCCCACCTTATACTCATTGAATTTAGTTACTACAGCTGCTATTGTAAATAAAGAAAGCTACTGTTTATTAACAGCCACAGTTGTCTCACCGCTACCACAGCCGTGCAGCGACCTTTAATGAAATGAAGATGGGTGAAGGGGGACATTTATATAATTCACTCATGGCTGTATACAGTGCAGGGGAGTTGCCGTGGTGTAACTGCTGGACACTCGCCTGAAGTTTGTGGGTTCAGGTCCTGGCGGAGCCAGACTTTTTTAATAATATGACCTTGGCTCCCAGGCCGACCCAGCCTTAAATGAGCACTGGGTAAAGGTGGACGATGTGATTCTGACCACATCACCCATCAGGTGCCGAATGGTGAATAAAATATGGGCCTAGCCCTACATGCCAAAAACGTCAGAAAAAGGGTCCTTTACTTTATATACAGTGCAGATTGCTCAAAATGATCTCGGATGCGACTAATTTCTGTTGTGAAAAACAATTTGTGTGTCCCCGGCAATTTTTCCTGCTTGAAATCTTATCTGGAGAAGAGGAATTTATGACAAAAGAACATTTTCTTGGGTTTCTGGTGAGTTCTCCTTATTGGGTCTGTGCCGTATTGTGTCAGCTTGAATTATGACGCTTTCTTTTTTTTGTAAAAATTAAACAGTCTGCTGTACTTGGTAGACATCCTGTGGGACATAAACAGGCATTGATTGTAGTCAAGCAAATTTCAAGAAATGCTAAATAGAACATAAAATGTGACTAGAAAGCTCAGCAGGGGAAATAGAAAAGATGCACACAAATACCACCCCTATTTTCTCACCATTACATATTTCTTGGTAGTTTAAATCTCTTTTGTCTTGCCCGTTTAGTTTTTCCAGTTCTTCTTCTTACACAAGAAAGGATAAGTATTCCAATCATAGTTTGTGTTACATTTAGTACTCGGATAGATAATGTTTGGCTATATTTGTGTGTCTTTTCCATCCCCCATCCCCCCTGTTGAGCTTTAAAATCACATTTTATGTGGCATTTAGCAGTTATATTAGACAGCCTCACCACTGTGCTAGCAATGTTTAGTGTCTGTCTCCTGTGTGGACTGGACATGTTTGTCAGGCCAGAGTGCACCTGCATAGATACTTAGAATATTTTCCCTAGAGCAGTGTTT